GGATGGGAAAATGATGGGAAAAGTACCAAAGAATTTTTCTTGCATAGATCTTAGGTTGAAAACATATGTTTCTTGCAATTAAGCCTTATAAAAATCTATTTTCCTAAAATTTATTTTGGAACTTTATCCTGCAGTGTCCCCAGGTTGAGTCAGTGTCCTCTTGTTGGGTCTTTCTTATGATTTTTTTGTTAAAAAATAAATGTACTCATGTCAAATCATCCCCATGTCGAGGCGCCCGCATGTGGGGGTCTCACTGTAGTTGAATTTACATCAGCAAAAAAAAAAAAAAACCGTTGTAACGAGACTTTGCTTTTTCTTCATTGCAGTATACATTGTCGCTGTGTAATAGTGGTGTAGCATGTAAACGTGGTTCAGCCATTGTTTATGTGTGTTTTCACCTCGAGCAGGATATTCGCTAGTCAGAGCGCAGTGCTGATTTCTCGGATACAAGGACATGTTCAAGATGTCGGCATTCAGTGAAGCAAAGTCCTCATTGGGCGGATGTCTGATGGTCCGCTTGGTGATTGGGCTCTTTCCTGCATAGGACACGCATGACAAACGTCCTACTGGACCTGCAATCAAGACCAATGAAATAAGGCATGAATCCTGGGGATGATTATAACAAGTTCTGACACTTCTGAGTAGTACAGTTCAGTTGAACCTGGATAATTAGAACCTCCCAATAGTGGAATACCCCATTATCCATTTGGTGGCAAAGTCAGACTTGTTCTGCAAAATTTTGTGTCTGTCTGAAACTTGTAACAGAGTTTTTAAAACAAGAGCAACAGTTCACCCAGGGCAAACTTCAAGAAAAATGTTGTATTTTTTTTAAAGCCACAGGAAAAATTTGCCAAAAAATAAAAATGCATCACCATGGCTGAGTTTTTTTTAACCTCTATATCTGGATTAGCTGCATTCTTCTAAGATTCTCAACCCTTTCATTCTGGGAGACTGAAAAAGGATTCCCATTCAGACACAAAAAAAAGATTAGAAGACATAGTGCAGCTTGGGGAAATTTCATCAACACTTTTTTCCTGGACAAAGTTAGACTTTGCCCCAGGGCACCTGTCTTGGCTTTCTTGGCCTTCAAGAAAAATGAATTGTGAACCCACCCAAGAAAATTCCAACTTAGTCCTGAAATGGGAAAGAACCCTTTGCTGCAGAAGGGTTAAATGTTGAAATTTGTTCTAATCCATGTCTGAATTTCCTTAGAATGCACATTGCTTATAGCAATTGTGTGGCAAACTTGGGATATTCTTGCAAAATGTTGTTCCCATTAGCCCCCTCAAAAAAGTTTCCTTTTCATACAAAGGCCTCCATCAAAGAAAATTCCAATATTTTTTAATCCTGTTGAAAAATGTGCCTAAAAAGTATCCCTAAGTGAGGTTTTTCCAGGAATTCCTTGCATAGGAATAGTATTGGAAATTTTTGAAAACCAAATTAATAACCCTGCCTGGATTTTTCCCAACTTGGGCTTTCCCATCCTGGGTGCATTTACTGCAGGACAGCCAGGAACCCTCTGATGCCCAAGGGTTAAAAAAAACTCCCTAGCTCAAAGGTTTTTCCTGTAAAACCTATGCAACTCCAATTTTTGGAGGTTTTTTGGCTACCATTTTATTGACACAGTAAAGAGAAAAGAAAAAATTAACATAAATTGATATGGTTTGAAAGAAAGTGAAAGAAAAATTGGGCAATTGAACACTTGCCTCCAAAGCGAGTTAATATAATGCACAGAATATCACCAATTACATTTTTCTGTAATCTTTATTTCCCCCCTTAAAAACAGTTTTCTTCAAGTTTAATGGATCATTTGAAAAATTGTTAAAAAGCATAATACAGTATTCCACACAGTAACATGATTTCACAAATTAAAATTCTAATGAAAATTTCCAATGCACTGTATAGTATTGAACTGTGAAAAGAAGCAGAAACTCTGGATGTAGCCAGGAAGTTTTTGATTATAATGATTTATTCCTCTGTAAGAATGTCTTGGAACTCTGAACAAGATGTGACAGCTGACAAAATTGTGGGGCAAAGTTTGAATATTTAAAAGTTGTAACCCATCACAGAGGGAGGTTCTTTTCATTAGTCAGCAGTGCTGGGATTTTTTCCATGCTAGTCTGTTTTCATTTGACCAGAGATCACCAAAATGGCTCCTGAGAAATGTGGCCTAAGCTGGGCATTATTTGGACAAGCCAAGAAAGGAAAATTGGCAATAATCAGAAGATCCCCTTAGGTTCATCCTATTCTTCAAAGCTTCAAAAATAAACCAGCCTTGAAAGAGCTTTGTTTGGCTCTCCAAAAAAATATTTGCACAGATACAAAAATGCATGTACAATGCAGTATTTCCCAATGAAGTGTATCATTGCCAGTGCAATATTTGTTTTACAGCAAAAACTCAGTGCAACAAACTCCCAGGGTCCTGACAAAAAATGTGTTACAGTTGAACCTCTCTATGTTGAATTTCAAGGGACCGGCCAAAAAATTGACTAAGGGAGGTTTTGACTCAGAATGGTTTTGAATTACATAGGTTTTGAACTACAATGCAAAGCTTTCTTTGGGAAACTTAGAAAAAAATGCAAATGGTAATATTCTAGAGCTTAAATGGCTTCTTAAATGAATTGAAAGGCTGCTGAACTTGGAGGCAGGGGTTCATTTGCTCAATCAAGTCTTTGACTTGCTTTGGAACACGCAAATTTATGTTTTTATTGTTTTTTTCTTTCTTGGGTCAAGAAAATAATGGTGAACAGGCCACAGAAAATTAAACTTATTGAGGTTTGAGTGGAAAATCTTTTGACTTAGAGAGATAATGAAAAATGTGTTGTACGTACAGGTGGTGCCTTGAAATTCAACGCTAATCTGTTGCCAAACTATGGTCAAATTGCAAAGTGGACACTTTGTGAAATTCAAAAATATCAATGCAAAAAATTGCCAAAGCAGGTTGAATTGCGGGGCAAAGGCCAAATTGCAAGCCATCCTTTCAGCTAATTTGACTGTCAGCGTTTGGGATTGTCAAAGTGTGGGAGGTCCAATTGCAAGGTACCACCGCTGTATCAAGATTCATGGTTATTATACACAGTTTAGCTTGAAATTTTGTGGAAAATTGTCAATAGTTACTGTACTGTGCTTCCAAAAAGGGAAAATTGAAAACCTACCATGATTGATAAGCATTCCTGATGAAATCAAGAGAAAACTTTTCAACAAAGTGCCTGCAGCTGGTGAGCAATTGCTGCAATAAAGAACATCCCAACACATTCACTGAAAGGGCAAGGACTTCAGAAACATCAAACTTAGATGCACCACAGTGGGTCAACATCCCTCATGTATATACCCAGGTTATTACCCCATTTTGAGAAAAGATCCCCCATCATCAGATGCAGTTACGCCCATACAGTATACGAGTATCTCATCCATTTCCAGCCTTGTTTTATTTACTTTCACAGAGATTAAACAGGAAGGAAGGAAGGAGATTAGAGTCAAAATACTCATATTTATGCTGTACCTGCTCCCAGGATCTTCTGATGCTTGTTGTAATAAGACATGGTGTTTATGTCGTTGAGGATGGAATCCACGGGGCGGAGAGCAGATGGGTAGACCTCGACCCCAGTGCTGCCAGGCTTCCGCTTTGGCAGCCGGTTCCGGACGCAATCACTGCAAAAAAATAAAAAATAAAGAGGAGAAAGAAAACATTGCACAAGAAGCAGACATTTATTTTTATTCACAAAATATTTCCTTTCTCTTTTCCTATGTATGACTGAGGCGCAGCGATGTCAGAGGCGTGACGACGACGACTCGCATTTTGACGAATTTTATCTGGTTTCTGCGTTATGTATATATATACCAGTTTTTTTTT